AGTCCTATTCAGAAAGCAGTGTAACTGTGGATTTGTGTTAGTGGTTTCTCTGTGAAATTAGAGCTTTTCCCTGTGAGTGTATGACCCAGTTTGAAAGCCGTGAAGTATTTTAGCCTCAGCCTTAGTTACTCTTGGAGTGTGAATTAGAGGGCTGAAGCTGTACCTCCTTTTAGGTGCTTGATTAAAAAAAAAAAAACAAAAAAAAAAACTACTTATGGCGGAAATGTGTTCTCATAGTGTTTAGTCTTACTCCCCAGTACATTTCCTTGATATTTACCTTTTGGTTTCAGGTCAGCCACTGTGTGCATCTGAATACTTTATTCTCTGTTTGTGATGGAGGTGAATGACAAAAACAGTTATGTTAGCATGCACTAATGAGTAATTCACCCTGTAGGTGAGAGTCACGTTTGAATTCAGTCTATTCGCTGACTGAAACACCCCCGTGGGCCTGTCTAAAGGGCACGATAATGTAATTACCCATCATCCCTTGTCTTTTTTGGGGGCAATTCAAGATTATTTAAGGTGTGTGAGGACAGGCGACACTTTGTTCTTGTCTACCATTTTACTTTTATTCCTCCGGCTCCTTTTTGCTGTTTTCTTGAAGATGCAAAAGTTAACATTTTTTTCTGTCACGACAGCTCTTATTTCTTGATTTTGTGCTTTTCGCCACTTGTTACATCGTTATCAGATGAGCATATGTGATGCACAAACCTGACATCAAACATTAATCAGACCTTTCCACTGTGTGTTCCAGCTGTTACGAGAACTGAAACACCCAAATGTGATCGCCCTCCAGAAAGTGTTCCTGTCCCACAGTGACAGAAAGGTCTGGCTCCTCTTTGACTACGCCGAACACGACTTGTGGGTGAGTCTCTCTGCGCCATTACTGCTAGCAAGAGCTGTTCATATGATTAATGAATGACAGAAAACCTCGTGCTACAGAAACGGTTACCTAATGATGTTTACATTAAGATTCAGCACTGTGCCATAAACCGTTAATATTGTGTATAAACAGCAGCCGCAGTGTCTCTGGATTGTTACAAATGTTTTATTTGTTCACCCATATTTTTGGTGCTCTGGGGAAAGTATGAGAAGGAGACAACTGGAGGTGGTTTTGTAGATATTGTGTTTATTCCATCTGATGAGGCATGCATAAGTGAGGCAAACCCTTTCTTTGCTTCACAGCACATCATCAAGTTCCACCGCGCCTCCAAGGCCAATAAGAAGCCTATGCAGCTGCCCCGAGGGATGGTGAAGTCTCTCTTGTATCAGATCCTGGATGGGATCCATTACCTCCATGCCAACTGGGTGCTCCACAGGGATCTGGTGAGTGGCTATATTAGCTTCAGTGCTCTCATTTCCCTTTACAGACACTTACCCACTCCATACATATGTTTCCAAAGGCATTGTGATTAACCAAGGTTATTAAAATTGAGAAACTGAAAGGAAACGCTAGGTATGAAGTTAAATATAATAACATACTTCCTTCTTTTATGTGAAACAACAAAGAGCCCCACCACCACCACCACGTATTTTTATAAATGAAAAAACCAACTCAAACTGTTCAAACTACTAAAGCTAAGCAGTTTGAAAAGCTAAAAATCCACTGATACTGGAAGTAAAACCTTCCTGTAACAGGTGTTAGATAACAATTAGGAAATGAAAATAAAATAGTGTCACTATCTTACTGTTAGGAATGAAAATTTAGGGAGAAAATATCCGAACTTCTTATCTGAAGGTTCGGATATTTTACTATACTCTACTATATCTACTGCTCACAGAACTCGTTCCCACGGAACGATTCCACCGAGCAGAGCTGTGTTATTTCACTGCCTTTCGTTGTTATGTCTTCGTGTGATGTGTTATGATGATTTTATTTGTTGGAAGAAGCACAATGACCTGAACTCTGAGTGCTTTCTGACTCCCGTCTACCCTTTAACCTGGTTCCAACACACACGTGGTTCCTGTGAGACTCTGTTCTCCTCGCTTTTCCCACAGGGCTTTGGTTGAAGGGAGGTCGCTGTGTATATTACCTGATTTCAGACAGTCTGTTTGGAGATACAATTTTGTTATGCTAGTACCACCGAAAAGAACCAGTCAACGTGGCTCCAGGCACCTTCTGAGAAAACAGATCTGTCACATGTTAAAGAAAGAAAAAGCAGAACTGGAACAATTTCCAACATATGACTCAGCACTGCAAACTCCCACAGCCCATCTGTAAGTGCATCTCCCCTGCCTCTCTCTGCCTCCCTGCATCTGTCACTCACCACTGAGGACCATGTGCACTTTTGCTTGTGGATGAAAAAGTATAATTAACCAAACAGCAGATTATGTGGTGAAACTTTGATTTGATTACTGCCATTGCTGCTTTGACGTCAGATGGGCTGCACTGAGTCCTTTTTCCAGATAATGCTCTGGTAAGACTGGCTCACTGAGATTACACTGTTTAAGCGAAAGTTAGCTAAGCTTTTGGCTTTAGATAAATCAGGTTCAGAAGTCAAAGGGCAGAGCTCCCAAACAGTTCAAGCATCTGTCTATGGGTTCCGTTTTCTTTATGTCCGGTTGTCAACTCTTACGTAATCCCAAATGATCCTTTGTAGTCATGTGGTGTCTTGACAGCACATTATGCAAACCTGAACGGATCAAGTAGGTATTTCAGTCTGTTGGTGATCCACAAGGTGTCTATAAAAGTTTCTACAGTTTGGATGCTGTAAATGCGTCAGTGACGAGACCATAAATGTTTGTGTTCTCAGCCAGTCATGTTATGGCTCCTCACATGTGTTTGTACTGTAGACAGGCCACTGACGTACTCATGTGCACTTATGATGAGAAGGTCCCAGCATGTAAGCTGTAAACTGTCCACTGCAGCAGCTGTTTGTTGTCCTCATTCATGCTTTTTTCTCCTTTGATGTTTCTTTTTGTTCGGGCCAACCTTTTTACCAGTCAGGATTAAATCTATGAATAGTGTCTTTGCTGAGGGTTATAGCTATCCATAGCCTCTGCTCTAGTTGACTTCATCATCTGTTTGCTTAGTCCGGCATTAATCCTGCACACCCTCACTTCACTCAACAGAAACATGCCATATTTGCTGTTATGTTGTATACAGTGGCCTTTGCCTCAGTTGTCAGATAAATCACACCTTAAAAACAAGACCCTGGGGTAAAAAAAAGAAAGAAAGAAAAGAAAACAACAACAAACAACTCCAACAAAATTCAGGATTCTTTGTGTGAATCCTATGAAACAGACCATTTAGATAAAATACAAAACACGGTAGTATTAAATTCCTCCTTACAAGGAGGGATGGGAATTGATAGGAATTTAGCAATTCCGATTCGATTGTCAATATCACTTATCAATTCTCATTGGCTCCACTTTGCGAGTTGCCACCATCTCTAAGCAGCATGTCAGTGACGTTACACTCATGCAAATCATTACATGCTTCGTGGTGAAATGTTTGTGGATGTTGGAGGTATTTCTCTTCCCTCTCTTTAACAATATAAACCTACAGGCTACAGCCCCACACACCAACACCTCATCTACCTATATACCGTAAGTAGAATCATGATCTTTTTTCTTAGAATTTAGGTATGAAAACAAAGCCGACAGCACAGAGCGAAGATGAAAACCAGCACTTTAAAGCGATCACCACAGTGATTCTATTTTAGAAACATGAACAGGTAGAAATGGAGGCTACAGGCTTCAGTTTGTTACCTTTTGAAGTTCAGCAGTGGCTGATTTCGCCACAAATGACAGCTCACTTTATCGCAGTGCTGGGCTGGGGTCAGCATTTACTCAGCTTTAACACCACTCTGGGCTCTTGGCTAGCTTAGTGTTAGCATGCTGTCTGTGCAGGTGCAAGGTGTTAGCAGTTGTTTCTGTCCTGGAGCAGTCTCCACTTTGCCATCGCACTCTCATTCTATAGTGTAATAAAAATAAAAGTAATGTAAACTGTGCCACTTTTTTCCTGCTGGAGACACAGCTGATTGTAGTGACAGTCTAAGAACCGATAACCTTATAATTCCTTTTACTGAGATGATAATTATTATTCTGTTACTGATAAATTAAAACACTGCAGTGAAAAAGTAGCTGGAAGTGCACAGGAAGAATCGACACTGCTGAACAGGACAATCACAGTAGCTGCGGGCTGCGTCGACCTAATGTTGTGCTACAACCTGATGAGGGTGCACATCAGCTTACGTTGTAGATTACGGCGTAGACTTACTGCTGAAGCATAAATCAGGTGTTAGACCAGCAAACTACAATTGTTTTCGTTATTTGTTCCCTTGATTAGGCCTGCAGCAAGAAATAAAACAAGGTGAAACAACCAGTTAGAGCTGCCGAGTATACGCTGTGCTGTAGTGTGTGTGAACTAGCAACCCTCCATCAAATCATGCACTCACAGTGTGCCAGCATGGCTTTAGTAGTCTCTGTTGCTCACAGCAGTTGCCATAGTAGGAAAAACACAAGTGTTAGTAGTAACATTAATGTTGACTCTGTGAGCCTGAAACATGTCTTCAGTAAAAGACAGGCTCTTAAAATAACGTGTCAGGATGTTTCGTACAGACTTTTATTTTGTAGCACTTTGTAAATTTGTGGAAACCTTAAGCACCAAAGTTCATAATATACACAATATGAATTCTCTTACAGTAGCTGTGTGGATGTTTTGGCTCTGTTAAGGTCACACCAGTCTTATCTACACACCAACATTTCCGGCCCCTCGATTATTTTCGCTGCAGCCGTTATTTTGCTGTCTCTCTGCCAGGGCTTCCTGCCATTGTTGCCACATAACCTCACTCGTAAATTTCATTCTTGTCTCTTGTCATCGGTGAGATTAGCGTCTTTTGTGCAGGTGCCTGGCTCTGTGTCGGGTCTCTGCGCGGGCATGAGAAATAACAACTGAAATTAGAGAGACTGCTCGTAGCAAACATGATGCTACGTTATGGAAAAATCTACCCAAGGCCTCTTACTGCTGTCTAAGTAGATGTGAAAGTCTTCCCATGAGCTGTATTGTGAATACATGCGAGGGGAGGAGCAGACATGTATTGTGCCACACAGGGAACGGTTTTCCTGCCCACTGTATCTTTAACAGCTGCAGTAGTTCTGCTGTTGCATAAGCATGTCTTTGTGCTTGAGTGTAGCATGCTCTGACTCTCTGGAAAGCATCCATGTGCTGTGCATTGCACTGTCACAAAGCCCATCCCCCATTTACTCTTGCAGTTACTCCTCTGTCGTCGCGCCCCCCCCCAATCAGAGGTGCTTGCCGTCTTATGTAAGATGATGTCAAGCCCACCGCTCTGCACAGATAGCTGATTCAAGAACCTGACTCTGCAGGCCAAAGCAAAAGGCATGCATTTCCATGGACTGTACCAATAATCACTTAAGAGAGGGGTGGTGTGTGTTAGGGTATTACTGAAGGTCATCTGTTATAGTAACCAGCAGTGCTATACTACATGCATATTACTGGGTGGGTGGCTGTAAGAAACTCATCATGCAAAGCGTGGAATTCTACACAACCACATTTTTTTTTCAGTGTCTAAAGTGGGAAAGTGAACCGTGTGTGCTTGCACTGAGAAGTTTGCTTTAGTTTTCATTCAGTTTTGCATAGATGAGTTCAATACTAATCTGGTGTCTCATTCAGATTATAATTGTTAATATTAACCTATTTACTTCTATTATTACCAAGAGGTATTTAATCCACTGACACGAGTAAAACAATGTAATCTGTACACAGCATCTGTGTTTTGCACTAAAACTAATTTATTTCTGCAGTTTATGTGTCATATATAAACTCTTTAATAATGGAAAGGTATTGTTGTTTTACCTTTTTAAGATTTTAAGAAGTGTCCAAAAGCAAGAGAGTTTGACTAGAGCCAGATCTGAATTTTCAAAATATCTGGGCTGCTAGTAGCATGCAATTAGCTCTGCTGTATTGAAATATGATGGAAATGATCCAAACATAAGATCATTTCTGATCATATTTCTTTAAAACAGGAGCTTCATGACTGTCTGATTGGTGATTCCTATTGGTAGGACTTATTCGTTGAATGCACACTGATTAAACAAATGTCTGCTGTAGGTCAGATGCACTTTCAGCTTAAGAACTCTACACCAATTATTTCCTTTTGTGTGTTCTGGTCTCTGTGGTTTCCAGTAGTTCTTAGTTGTTTTTACCCCCTTTTTCTAATCTTGTACATCCTCAACTCCTGTCCTCACATCTTAGTCCCATCTCAGTGGAGGAGGAAAGGATAAGACATAAGGGGAAAGGACTTGTGGCAACAGGGATATAACAAAAACTTAAAGCAATGTTGGTTAAATATGACATTTGGTACAGCCGGACCATGAAGTGTTCTGTTTGTAGCCCAGTTTCAGCTGTGTTTTCAGTTTTAACATTACTCCTGGAATTTTTTTTATACTGAAGGCCTCTTTTAATCAAAATCCCAGAAACATCCTCGTCGGATCATCTGGTTTCCCTTCACGTTGCGTTGTTACTGGACTGGGGTTAATCACCATTTTAATAAAGCTCACTTTCAAGGGTCAAGTTCTTTTTTTAAAATTAGATGACCTGAATGTTTTCCTGGACAGGCGTGCATTTCCTCTTATCTCAGTGGTCTAGATGTAAATGATAACATGAGTCAGGCTTGAATTCTCCAAGTTCAGCCTTAATGCCTTATCACCAAACAAATTTCCTCATATTTTCATGACAGATTTAATCGCTGCCTTGCTTCAGCAGTCTGCGTGTTATTAATTCACTCTGTTTGCAGGTGATTTGTCAGCTTGAGTAATATCTCATTGTAGCAGCATTGGTATTAATACAGTGCTTTTTTTCCTCCCCCTTGTATTTTGCGTCACCCTACAACTATTCGAAACGGTTGCCTGGTGCTCCCTAACCCTGGTTGTGCCAGAGGTCCCTTCTGGCTAAATGAGACTTCTTCCTCCCCGCTGTTGCCAAGCACTGCTCCTAGGGGTTGAGTACTCTCACTCCACACACTGTAAACAAACAGCAGCTACTTGAGGAAAAGCAGAACGAGAGTTGAACCAACCAACTGGCTGCGTGAAAGGATGAAGCATGCTTTAATACTACTGCATACTGCACTAATAGCTCAAAGGGGCTTCATTATCTGGACAGTTGGTCGTTGATGAGTCCTGTAGGCTGTCACCTTTCGCTTCAGCTTGTTTATCAGCTTGCCCACTCTGTTACGTAAGTGTGTAAGTTTGGCTCCTGAAGTGGCCTACTTTTTGATACAAAGATGTAAATGATTTTGTAAAAGAGGGCCACGTCCCTAAGGACTGGGTTTACAGATCCTCTGTGGGGCGGAGAGTGTTTATTTTCCCCTGGCTCCCGATCCATTTATGAAACTGTCCAAATGGAACTGATTAATTTCACTGGCTGCATTTGAAGGGAAATCTTAATATGGGGGGTGTGAAAAGGAATTTGGTGCATGCTTCACTAACTTTGGTGCATATTTCAATCAATTTATTACATCTCCTTATATCACTGTGGTCTGCTGCTCTTTGAAACAGTCCCTCTTGCACTCATGTTTCTACTTTTCAGCTTTTCCTTCCATTAGACACGTGAACTTATTTACATCAAACTTCATTTTTGCATGCTCACTTTGCATTTTGAAGGCACTGGCACTCACTCAGGTCTTTTTACAGAACATTCAAGAGGTAAAAAAAAGAAAAAAGAGTACGTTCAGGCTAGGCATATTAATTCACTTAGGTCTGTTTAGAATTTGAAAGAGGGGCTGAACTCCTCGGGCCTTTGAAGAGACGCTTGTCTTTGTGTTTGCCGATCGTGGGGGTGTCATGTTGTGGGCATGAATAGCAGATCTCATTATTAGTGCTGTTTCTATGGCAACAAAATACGTTTGCCAGTCAGATCTGAGTCTGCCAAGCCAGAGGGTTCACATTCACTCAAACACCCAGGGAGACAGTTTGACAACAAGCATTACTGCATCCTACTGCACGACAAGGTAAACTTCAAAAACATGGGCCCACTGATATTTTTTGCCCTCTGAGAAAACGTACAGAGGTTTTCCGATGCATTTTATATCCTCTGGTAATTCAGAGACTTAAAACCACTGTGCTTACAACTGCAAATTATATGCAAGAAGTTGAGTTAGCGAATGGTCTGAAGAGCAGTGAGAAAAATACATCGGCCTTCATGTGTTGCGTCCTAGATGCTGTGCCGCGAGCCCTGTGGCAAAAGCCTGAACCACACTTCTTCATGCTCCACATTCCTTTCTGAAGAGGAAAACGCAGATAACAGCATTCAAAGCTGTTTTAATTACTCATTTTAGCATTGCATCCTGTGACTCTGAAGGGTGTTGTATGCATTGGTGGCCATTCAGCTTTAGGGGCCTCCTAATTCCACTCTGATCCATCTAATTTTCAGCTGGGGGAGTAAGCAACCGCCGTCAGCCAACAGGCTCAGAAAAATCCAGTGAACACTATAAAATTAACAATTTGTTAATTAAATGTCAACGTTGAGCGTCTAGTTTGCTGTGCTGCAGTAACTACTGTTATATTTACTAAGTGAAAATGTAATAGGTTAATCTTTCTCTATTTCCCATCCCAGCTATATACTGTTTACACAGTGGACCAGTTTCACATGTTGACGTCTGAATGTGTGTGAGCCAACAGCCTCCTAATTTTCTGTTTGGGAGATGCTTGGCACTGTGTGACATCATAGAGGGGATATCCCTAATATGATCAACAGTGGCACATGGCACTTGTTGCCCCCCACAGAAGGCCCACTTGCCAACAAGTGAGTAAGTTGCTTAAAGTGAGTGTAGCCTTAAAGAAAGTTAGGCTAGATCAGCTTATTTCAAGCAGAGAATGAACTGAAGGGCTGCACCAAGGCCCAGTATAAGATGACTAGGGATTATTCCGAGCAGTGAATCATGCAAAGCTACTCTAGTAGCCTTTAGTAATAACATCTTTACAAAAATACTTTTTTCCCACTTTTGCCCAAGTGCTTTCTCTGGGCTCTCTCTGTATCATTGTAGGGTCTTTACCTTACAATATAAGGTGCCTTGTGGTGACTGTTGTTGGGATTTGGCGCCAGATATATATATAAAACTGAATGGAATACTCTCTGTGCTGCCCTATCAACAAAGGCAAAAATAAATCTAAAAAAGGAAGTCAGTGTTCTTGTTCAGTTTGCAGTATTTCATCACTTGAAAGTGGTCAGGAGAAGGACTAATCAGTTTTGGATCAAACGACTATATCTGTGAAAAACTTCACGTCACGTGTTTTAGTTCTCCTCACCTGTTCATTGTATTTTAATTTAATTTGTTTATGATTTGTTCTTTGCCAAAGTGAACCTTGCAGCACTTTTGTGAGTGACTCACAGTTCTGAAATTTAACATTTGTGGTTAAACGGTGGTTAAACATCATCTAAATGAATGCTTCTGAACTACCTAACATCGTTGGTCTAGGATGTTTTTTAAGGCTTGGACCTAAAAACAAAAAAGAACTCAACCTGTTCTCCTGTTATTGTGAAATGTACTCAGCCTAACAACTAATATAGGATTTTAAATACCAATATCAATTGGGTGATTTGAAAAGCCACAGCATGTGCTGGGCTATGGCTTGTGTCCACATAAGTGGCGGCAGTCAGCTTGGTTGGCTAACAAAGCTTTTACTTCTTGGAACTTGTGTGGTTCCAGTTTCTCTCTGGAAACCAGATGAACACACCCAGCTGCTTGAGCGTGTTTGACTCCATTCCTGGGTGCATGATCACTTGGCTTAAGTGCACTCCCGGAAAAAGGCTCACTGACATAGTCATGTGGTTGTGTGCTTCATTACAAAAACAGGACAGTCAATAACCACTCAACATGTTTCTGCAAAGGGAACCACTGATACTGTAATACCACGGGTATTCTGAACGTATTATCAGTCCAACTGTGTGTTAGAACCATTTACATTTATTGTACTTCCAAGTTAAAAACAGAGTGATTTTTAGTATACGCAACACCTCGTAATGTTCTGTCTCTTTCTCCCACAGAAACCAGCTAACATCCTGGTGATGGGGGAAGGCCCCGAACGAGGAAGAGTTAAAATTGGTAAAGTAGATTTAAAAAAACATCATTTAAACTGCTTGACTGATTTGAAACTTACACAACCTTTAGGTACTTGTGTCAGCACGAAAGTGGATCAATTAGGTTGTTGACGTGTTTGATTGTCTGATAGCTACAACGTTTAACCTTGTCCAGAGAGGCTGACAGGAAGCTCAGATCAGTCCTGTTGCATAAGCCAGCTGGCCAGGGGAGTGTTGAAGGGTAATGCTGCATTGCTGGCATCTATTTTTAAACCCCGTACTCCCAGTAATAGCATAGAGTGTTGTTCCAGTGCAGCCAGAGTCTTTGCAACTGGTGCTGGTAAAAGTTTTACTTGAATGAACGCCACAAGGCTGCTGTGGTTTAATAAATATGTTTAATATCTTAATAGTTACATGGAGCAGGATGTTCATTTTATTCATTTCCAACTTTCATTCATTCATTTTTTAGGAGAATGTGAACTAAGTATCAGAAATCACATTCATTATAATTGTATTTGAATGCATGTTGGTTAAGCGAACAACTTTTTCAGCCTTAGTTGTTCCTGTAGATATTGCTTTACAGTCAGTGTTGTATTTTCTGTGAACGTTTCATTATGAATCATCATCATCATTAGTATCATTAGTAGGCAAATGCAAAACTCTGTACAAGGCTCATCCAAGAACAGTGTCAGTGACAAGTTTTACTTTTAATTCTAATTAACATTTTAATTATATTCAGTAAGACCTGAATCTGAAACTGAGCACATTATTCATCATGATCTCATCTCACTCATTCTATGACCTCAGAGTTTACTGAGGTCAGCCGAGAAGTGTTTTCCCATCAACTTCTTTATACAACCAACCAGTTGCCCCCTACTGGCCATTACAAAGAATGCAGATTTAAAGGATTTCTGTATAGGCTTTCCATTTTCAGACTCAGATGCTACCTCCATCTTATACATACAGTCTGTGATCAGTTCTATGATCAGTATAATGCATCTTTAAAGTCATTAAAAAAACAGTGAAATGTCCAATTAGCATTGTCCAATATTAGCATATTTATTTACTGCGCATATAGAAGTTGGCACAATAAGACTACCCATATGTGGTATCCATATAAGACTATAATCGCACTTCTGTAGATCCCAGAAATGTGACTTGAAAAAACCCCCAGAACTCTTGCTCTTGGTGATTGCTCAGGTTTAGTGGCAGCTACAGAGGTGAATGTAAAATGTGGAGGGGTCATGTCCCCCACTTCACCAGTGGAAATAAAGCTGATTCAGAATAGGCTGACTTTAGTCTGTCATTTGTATTTGAGCTACACAGTGTCACATTTTCTTCTTCTCATGCTGTTGCCATCAAAACACGACTAATTTGATAAGGATGGATTTACGTTCCATATTACTCAGTGCACTCATTATTGTGGTGCTTGATTATCCTTACTGTAAGTTTTCTCTGATGTAACTCAAACCAACAGAATGCTGGTGTTTTGAAACTAACCACATTTGATTGATAAGCCAAGGACACTGCTCACTCATGGTGGTAGTGAAGCATATCTTGCTTAATGGTGTGCTCCATTCGAAGTGGGAAGTCGGAATTCCAATTTGCAATAGCAGTCCTTCCAATCCCAACTCCACAATCCAAGATGACAGCAGCAACAGCAGGAAAACGTGTAATCTTTGCAGCCACTGGTGTGTGTTTGTGACTGGCTATTTAAAAGCCATACACAGACCACTGACCAGGTTCTAGGGGAGCTGTACCGTATTCTGCTGTCTGTTAGAAAGACACAGGAAGAGAATCTGTTTGTGCCAGTTTCCTGTTAATCTTTACTAGAATGAGGCAGAGTTAAATATTTATGTGTAACTTTTATGTTTTCTGTTAAGGTACTTTTTTAACAGTGGGAAATTGCTCTATTTCTCACATTACCGTTTTAGCACATTACCGTTGACATTAAAAGCCTGCCTTGTTCAGCTTTAGAGTTGTGGATGTTTCATATTTAGTTGCGGTGTGAGAGACGCCCGAGGTTCTGTCTAGAACCCGTGGCTCTGACAGCAGCCTTGAACATGCATTTGTATCTCTATCTGATAATGCCTTTGTTTGCTAACTGCGTCTATCTTCTTTCGCACCTTCTGTAGCTGACATGGGTTTCGCCAGACTCTTCAACTCTCCGCTGAAGCCGCTGGCGGACCTTGACCCCGTGGTAGTGACGTTCTGGTACAGGGCCCCGGAGCTGCTGCTGGGGGCCCGGCACTACACCAAAGCTATTGGTGAGTCACACAGATGAAAAAAACGTAATGCTCTGCACCAAGGCAGGACTTTGATCCCTGGCTGTTTGCTTAACTGCATCAGGTTTGTGTTAGTTGACAGAATTAGCTGTGATTTTAGAAGCAGGGTCTCTTGGTTTACATGCACAGCTGATAAGTTCAAAGTACTCATGTGATCCATGGACATCATCAGAATAAATCAATCGTGGAGCACATGTTCCATTATAATCTCAGTATCTTACATCTTCCCACGTCAGTCCATTGAATGGAAGTCGACTTAGGCTGTTAGCAATGACTCACCATTGCATTGTATTCACATCACGTAACATGTAAGTGTCTTGACATACAAAAACAGAACATTTAATTCAAACAAGTTTAAAAGAGGAGCCAACAACTCTTCCTAGTTGGGCTTTGAAAATACATAATAAATAATGCAGTACAACAAGGAAATGGACAAAAAAACAAAAAAAACCCAGACATGCACCAATCAGCTGGCCAGAGTATAGAATCAGCTGATTTTCCAGCTTTCTCCGCCCTGTGTGGTGACTGGCCGGTCAGCCTCACGTGTGTCCGATTATGAGGCGGCCCATTTCACGCATGCACAAAACGTGCAGGGCAGCGCAAGCAAATAGATGCACTCCACTGTGTCACAACCACTGTGGAGGATCCTCACCGTGAGTGTAAAAGTTCTCCGAAATAGCGACCACCATGAAAATGTTTGCAACGAAAAGACAGATGCTTAAATCATCCAGCTGACATTTTCTAATTTCAGGCAACGTGGCTAAAATTATGACGATGAGTGAAAAAGAGAAAACTGTCGATATTTGGTTATCTGGTGAAGTTATAAACATACTGGAAAAATGATGCGTGTAACTGACATTTCTTTTTCTTTTGTTTGGAAAGGTAACATGCCAGGTAGAGCTGAGCATACAGCAGCCTGTGTTCATTACATTTTTGCACCTCTTTCCATTAGCAGGACACTTCATTTTCAGTTGTTTCAGTGAGAGAAAATTGTGCAACATACAGTTGTTTAGTTTCAGTTGTGTATGCTGTCAGTTCTAATAATGAGGGAAAAAACAGAATTGGTAAGAAATTTTGTTTAGGTAGGTCACGCTTACAGAGAAATGCAGAATCTACATTATAAACATTATACAGAAAAATAAATACGTCACATCATCCCAAAAGGTTGATTCTGTTCATCTGGACGTAGCATTTTCAATGCAGGTAGTTAAGCAGTAACACTAACATCAATATTCCAGCAGAAAAAAATGACTTCCTGTAATCCAGGAAGATTTAGCCATTGTAGCTAGTGTATCTCCACAATACTGAGACTAAGTGTTGTCTGTTTACATGTGTGCGTGCCCCAGACATCTGGGCGATTGGCTGCATCTTTGCGGAGCTGCTAACATCGGAGCCCATCTTTCACTGTCGCCAGGAAGACATCAAGACCAGTAACCCATTCCATCACGACCAGCTGGACAGGATATTTAGTGTCATGGGTTTCCCTGCAGGTCTGCACACACACACACACATATACAAGAGATTGTTTAGTGTATCGATAAAAGTGTTAACTTAGTCACGTGCTTGTGTCTTTCGCAGATAAAGACTGGGAAGACATCAGGAAGATGCCAGAGTACCCCACACTGCAAAAAGACTTCAGGAGGACGACGTGGGTGGCCGCTCTAATGACCTCTATAATCGGGGAGCTTGTAGACTTGTAAATGAAATATCACATATGCTGTCATTTGTCATCCAACAGGTATGCAAACAGCAGCTTAATCAAATACATGGAGAAGCATAAAGTGAAACCAGACAGCAAGGTGTTCTTGTTGGTAAGTGCACACACACACACACACACACACACACACACACACACACACACACACACACACACACATATATCTTAGTTCAGTTACTTTAGAGGCATTATGTCCATTTCCTGGTGACCAAACCTAACTGTAACTGCTAACTAATTAACCATTAAACTCACCTTAAAAGTAATAAACTTTAAATGGTCATCGACTGGGCTGTTATTCCCCAAATGAGGTGCAGGTGCACACAGTATAACTATGTAAACACGTATACTAATACTATTACTACTTAATAAAATCGTCTTACTTTGAAAGGCCACTAATCAGGAAGCCCCCACCTTTTTGTATTTTCCTATCGTACACTGATCAGGTGTGTGTGTGTGTGTGTGTGTGTGTGTGTGTGTGTGTGTGTGTGTGTG